AGTAAGGAGAAATTAGATGCTCGTCACTCTTAGGGGCGAAAGCGTTAAGTAAAGACAAAAACATTTTGAAGCAACCCTTCCCTTAGAGTCTATTAGAAGTCAAGAGACCCTGTGACTTTGGCGGGGAGGGTTTGGCCGCTTCGAAGTCTGTTGTTCCTTTCTGTGAAATATGTGTTGGAAAAAAAAGTTAATTGAAACGTTAGTTGAAAACTAGACACCTTTTGAAGTAGATGAGATGGTTGTTACCAGTAAACCCTTCTGCTGAAGGCAGGAATGATGGGGTATTTGTAACTTTATTTTTATGAAATGTTTTTTCATGTGTTGTAGCAGTGTATTCACTGGAAATTCTCTCTATTCAAAGTTCCTTGGAACTGACTTTTTGTTTCAAGTTGTTTGAAACTCACGTTTGCATGTGAAGCAACATTTGGAGATATTTTAAAATCGTGTATTTTATTTTCACTTCTTTGTCAAAAGAAACGTAACATAGCGGTTCTTTGTTCTAAACAAGCGATTAGTGAGTGGTTTACAATCGAGAAGTAAAATCTCTCTGTTGGCGTGAAAGATCTTCTGATGTCTGGGATTTAATCAGTATATATTATCAGTAATTCTCCCCACCAACCGGTATACATTTCATTCTGAATAGGCGTAATTTTTTGTGTGTTAAGGCCTGGCCAAATGCATGCTACATACAAACGCAACAATTCAACGAAACATCTTGCAAAATTTTTGCGCGTAACGTGTTGCACACGTTTGGCCACCTTGTGGCAACATGTGTTATGTTGGATGGTGTTGGATCAAGCTTAAAAATGGTCACATTTTTGTTGCAACATTTTAGGATGTTGCAAGATGTTGCGCACATTTTCCCAGCTCCTTTGCAACATCTCATAGCACAATCTTACGATGTTACAAAATGTTGCATGCGTTCGACCGAGCCTTGACAGGCGAATAGAGGCAAGCGCGAGGGGGGTCATTTCTCGTTCCGCGCTATTCTCCTCGCGCGTGACTCGCACTTCGCGCCGCCTTGCGCTTGCCTCAGTTCGGCTGAAAAATGCAAAAATATTACACCTATTCTGCCATTGCAGATAAGTGTTCATCACGAGGGAAAGCAAAGGCCTCACTGAAGACCAGTTGTCAGGGGTCTAGCGCCTGTCACAATATCTCTTACCGCTGTCTGTTTAGCTTGCGAGCAAGCTCTCGTGATTGAGTATTCCTCGTCAAGCGTTTAGTGCATCTGCTTTTTTCTTTACTAGATTATTTGGTTCTATCAACTAAGTTCATAATGTAAGGAAGACATCTGTCACGTGCTTGCGGGCAAATCCTGTGTTCTGATTGACTATCCACGTGCTCGCGGGTGAATCTTGTGTTCTGATTGACTATCCGAACGAGAGAGATGAGCCCACCTTGCCTGCTCGCGATTGCCTGCTTTGATTACGGATGGTAACATTAAAGGAAAAAAAAAAACTCGGAGCGGACATACAAAGTTCATACTTTTTGGACAATGTCAGCGATAGAGTCACAAAAAGCGACAGGAGACAATCAAAACATAAAAACACAATTAAAGCCGGGTTGCTACAAAAACAGTTGGCTTTCTTTCTCGTCTCTCGAAATAAGCAGGTGTGGTTTCGTAATAATGCGATTATCATATTGTTAGATATTAAATCCTTTCGTAACCGAGCTTTTTCAGTCAAGATGGCTGGATATTAGGCTTGTCCTTTTTTTTTCTGTCGATATGGACCTCAACTTCGTCCAAAAAAAAAAAAAAACGCAAAAAAAGAACTCGGCCAAAATCCAGCCGTCTTGACCTCACGCTTGGTCAATAACGCATTATGTAAGGAGTTTCTGAAGCAGATATTTCCGGCGTTAGCCCTTCATCATGAGCTTATTAGCTCTGACGAAGGGCAAACAATCAAAACGTCAGCTTTAAATACTCTTTCCGGTGGCTTAATTACATTTTTAACTTATTTGATCAAAGCAAATTATCTTGTAACCACAGTTTCTGTAGAACGTAATTGCTCCCCTTATTGGTTTTTCATTTTTTTCTAACATTTAATCGAGATATTTTTCTTTTAAGCAAACGAAAATTCTGGCTCACAATGTCCCTCGAGTTTACCGTGGTACAACAACTCATTTTCACTTTCGAAACATTTGAATTTCAACAGTTTATAACACACTATGCAAAAATAAGGCTTACGGCAGCCATGTTCGGTCACGTGATGATGTGCCTGCTCTTGAAGAGTGCGGAACGTGCGCGTGCAGCCGGTCACTGCCAAACATGGCAGAACATCGTAACCATAGAAAAAGTGCGCGCTGAAATCATTCGTGTCATATTTACTCCAACACGGATGTGTCTTGCCCACGTACGTTGTTTTGTGAATTATTTTCATGTCTTCTTTCCTTTTTGTATGAGGGCAGTACGTTAGAACGCAATTTGCGGTGCACAGATCACATCTGTCCGCGTCCTGAACGCGTTCTTGAAATAAGGATTCCTGGTTAGAAAATCCTATTTTTCGTTTGTGCTTCTGCGTAAGACAACCATCGAAAAACCCGCAGGAAACCTCGTCGTGTTTTCTTAGTTCTTTTCTGTTGTAGAAGACCATGCGACATTTGTCGCAAATGTATTGGAATTCGTCCATGAGAGTACATTCCTTAGTATCAGCGACCTTGTAGGAAGCATTTTCTTCGTTTAAGATTTCTAGCAAGGAGGAAAAAACACTTTGGACTTCAGATGAAACGAGGATTATGTCTCTTTTTTCTTGCACTCGAACGCGCGGGTCCTTAGCGATCAGCTTCGTCGAAAGAAACCTCCAATCTACAGCGCTAAATGGCATTATAGTTGTGTTCTTGGGTACATGCAGAAATCTGAACTGCGGTAGCAACTTCGCCGGTATTTCTTTACTCCGATAGAACACGTAGAAACGAAGAAAGCCCCTTGATTGAGGAGATATTGTAATGTCCTGGAGATAATCCTGACCTTTGGTTTCCCAATCGAGAAGAAAGAACTTAACGCGCATTTTTTTTTTATCAGCAACTTTCCGACTGTTTATACAGTTTGCCAGAAGAACTAAGTCTTTGTTATTGAGCCATCGTTTTGTACTGATGCCTCGTGTCAATGACAAAAGCCGATTTGTTTTACAAGCAATTATAACACATTTCGTTTTGTTTTCTTTTCGCAAGGTTACAATAGAGAAATGTAATAAACCTCATACCTTCCTCGCCAAGGAGACACACAAAACAAAGCAAAAATTTTCAAATAGGTTCACATTTGGAGGCACTGGGTTTTAATTGGCTTGTTTTTTGCCGAATGAAACATCATGTTCGTTCAAATCGCTCAGGTTTTTCGTAAGTTTGGGATTAATTGAACTTGTTTAAACATGGATCATCATTACGACATTATCGTTTCCAGGGCTTTCTCCGCCAGTGAGAATAAAAGAAAATGGCGATCGTAATAAATTGCGTGCGCATATGCTGATTAGTGAACTGCGCTCACCAAAAACAACGATTTGACGCATAAGCAGTCTTCTTTATCGCGTCCATCGGTTTCTATGTGACAAACCTCGCAAACACTTCTGGGTTGCACAATGTCAGATGTAGGAAATAAGAAAAATTTGAGGTGGAAATTGCAGGTCGATCGCTTCAATAAAGAGAGATATTTAAAATTTTGGCTCTAGAATGGATAAACAGAGCTAATTGGCTATTTAGCCTGAAGCAAATTCGAGATAGCTGACAACAAGATTAGACAAACCCGACAGAAGCAACTAATTCGATAACAAATTAACTCTGTAATAACCATGATAAATTCTCTCAAGTCCCATAACTCATCAAAGATTCCCCACAAAACAAATGTTGGGCAAAACGTTTTTCTTCTTTTCTTTGGTTTATTTTCTTTTCCTCTTTAGTCGTGCTTCCTAACTCCTAAAATGTTAGGCTATACAATAAAGAAACAGTAAATAAAGGGGGTAAGTTTCTAAAGAAACTGGGATCAATATTAGTCTCTGGGCAACTGCCCACCCACCCCTCCCCTAACCCAACATTAACCTTAAATTGTTATCAATTGACTGTTGTTGAGTTAGGGGAGGGGTAGGTGGGCAGTTGCCCAGATACTGATATTGATCCAAAAACTGTAGCGCTGCGTCAGTAGGGGGTATACAAGAAGATATGGTTTTAAAAACTGAGTTGATAATGTAAATTGGCCATCGTAAAGAGTTTCAAAGCTGAAGTTTCGGGCGTTAGCCCTTCGTCAGAGCTATTGGCCTCATGACAAAGGGCCAACGCTCGAAACTCTAGAAACTCTTTATGGTGGCCAATTTACTATACAATAGATAAAACCTCTTGGCCTGAAAATTAGCTTCTTTGAACTAATTCAGTGTTAACAACTGAGTTGAAGACGTAAAT